AGATCTGAGAGCGGGGTGGGTGGTGGATAGTTGGGAGGGGGAGGTGCTGCTAACATGGCATTTGCAAGGTTGGCCTCTGCCGTTGTGACACTGCTATGACTGCCACTTCTAGTTCGATATTCGGCCATTGCATCGGCATCTCGCTCCAACAGGCGAGCAATTGGAGAAAATGCATTTTTGACAGAGGATGATTTAACTCCCAAAGAGGAGCTAGAGGTGGGCGGGTTGGATCGACCATTGGGTGCTATTGATGATATGCTGGGTCGGCTGGAATGGCTAGGGGCGTGTGAGGACGACGTAGAGGTATTCCGATTACGAGTTCCATTGGCAGCTGCAGATGAGGGTATCGGGGTTAGGATAGTTCCATTGGATGGAGGTGGGCGGGGAAGCGATCCGGATGACGAATGCCCAGAGAATTGCGACGAGCCAGGAGCGCTGGTCGACATTGCTATCTCAAAATCCGTACTATCAGAGGCAGATGTAGTTCCTGAACCGCTCCTGAACCGCGAAACACCTGCATCCAGTCGGGAGAATTCATCTTGGCGGTTAACGCCTTGACCGTACGCCCTCCGCGCTTGTTGTTGAGCAACTACCCGAGACTTCTTACTGACCTCCCAACGATTTCTCGCGGTTTCTTGCAGTGCCTCTAGAACGCTGTTACTAATGTCGGGAGTGACATTTGAGTTGTTGTGATCATACGCAGTCAATGGATACCTACGAGTATGCATAGTCTGAAGGAGTAAAGCCATCGTTATTTTTCGCATTAAATCCGCAACCTTTCTCGATCAGGAATTGTACGATCTATACAATGTCAGCAAACATGTCGGGATTAAGCGGGAGCCACTCACCGGTATGTGACCCCAGGCACTCGCACTGCCAGACATCAGCACAAGCTAGAAAAAAATGAAAATACACCTCACTAATGCAATGGGGTATTGCCTTGTAGATCTGACAAGTCGATATCCGCATCAAACTCGTACAACATCTATATGATTTCAGTATGGCGGGCGACAGAAATATGTAGAATCTTTGACTTACTCGAACAAACTCATCGTTACCATTTGAAGCAGCGATATGTAAAGCTGTTTTTCCGTGTTGATTGCACCAATCTGTGATGAAAGGGAAACGTTGGAGGTACATTCGGGCCATCCTCATGGAAGCTTGTGTAGTCGCGTCATCCATAGGTGTATGCATAGAACCGGATGGGGAATTTCCTGGTGCACCCGCGAGTAAGCACAAAATCGTGTTCTTTTCGGCGTCCTAAGCAAGACAGACGTTAGCCTCCAGGACGTTCCGCGCGAAACGGGTTTCAAATCACCTTGCTGAGCTCTTCATCGTCGTGACACATCAATAATAAATACTCAAAGATATCTTCGCACCCGCAAACCGCTGCCCAGGCCAAGGAGGTATATCGAGCGGGCGCTGGGTCAGGATTGCGCATGTCCGTTCTGAGGATTAAACGCTTCACAAGCGCCAGGTTGTTTTCTATATGATTTTGGGATTGCACAATGCGTCAGCAACGACCGGTAAAGCCTAGGATTAATCAATACTGGGCACAGACCCTTGACGGCACGTCGCAGACGTTGTGTGATATCCCGCTCCGCCATGATGGGAGGTCCAAAGGAGGTATTGAGATAGCGCAGCTGCTTTTCGCAAGCTGGCCCTAAGGTGGTCGGGTCGAAAGTGTCGCTGAATGGAGAGCGGCGTTGCAGGCGTTGCTCTCTGACCTGGACTTTAACCTAAAAGGATGCCGACCGTTGCAGTGGACAAACTTGACCTCTATGAACGTCTTGGAAGAAGTTATAGTCAGTAATCGGATATTTGTGGCTGGCGATAGTCTAATATCAGAGCAGCCACCGAAGAGTTTGACCATCTCTGTTTTGAGTTTGGAATAGAGCTGGATGAGGACGTATGTAGCATTCACTCAATAGTCAAATATAACAGACGTCGTGGAAGTTGATCATAATCCTTGCAGACGACAGATGAAGTAGAGGCAGCGGCAAAGCGTGGCGAGCCTGCTGAAAGGGCGGTATGTCCCCTATCTACGGGCAACCAGGACCAAAACGCGATTCTTACAGCACTCTTAGCAACTCAAGATTGAGATCCCCGCTAATAGGTGAGTTCATACTAGGAAATGAGCCGAGTAGTTGGTCATTGCTTTCACAGATCTGATCTTTTGTGCATCGAGGGCATATCTCGGGCTCTTCGTGTCTTTCTGCAGATCGAAAAATGTCCCCAGGTTAAACTAGTTCTACCAGCTGGTGGTGAACAAAATCTTTTGACTTGCCACATTGCTCCAGAGGTGTGTAGTTCACGTCGACCACATTTAGCCACTCGGAGCTGACTCTTTACAGGTTGCCAAAGTCAGGGCGTTCACCGCTGCCGCTATCTTGCGCAATGTATCCTTTACCCAAAGAAATTACGATTCTTTCATAGATCTACAGGACAAGCTTCATCAAAATATTTGTCGAAAGCGGCAACTCGTCTCCATTGGGACTCACGACCTCGACACTTTAAAACCGCCTTTTCGATATGAAGCGCGAACTCCAACCAACATTAATTTTATACCACTGAATAAGGAAAAGTCATACAACGCACAAGAACTCATGACCGTCTATGAGGTAAACCTGCTCTCCTCTCCGTGTTGACTGGTGGTTGAGCGTTTTCGTAGTCAGAAAAGCACTTGGCGCGCTACCTACATATTATCAAGGATTCTCCTGTATATCCAGTCTGGTATGATCAAAACGATCAAGTTCTTTCCCTTCCTCCAATCATCAACTCGGAACACTCCAAGATCACATTGAACACGCGTAACGTATTCATCGAATTGACCGCGACAGACGAGACCAAACTTGCCATTGTCCTGAATGTTATATGTGTCATGTTTGCTGAACACTGTGATGTCCCTTTCACGTAAGTAATGCCCTCTCCAAAGACGAAGAGTCCGCTTAGTGATTTTCTCCCTACCAGCGTTGAACCCGTGCGCTTGTGCTGGCCAGATGGAAAGGAAACGATTACACCAGACCTAAGTCCTCGTGCAACAACTGCTTCAGCGGAATATATCAACTCGTGCACTGGCCTTTCTCTCTCTGCTGCCGAGATATCAGAGCTTTTGAAACGGATGACTCTTGAAGCGGAACCCTCTTCTTCAAACCCAGACGAGATCTTGGTTCAAGTTCCTGCTTGGAGACCGGATATATTGCACGAGTGCGACATTATGGAGGACGCCGCAATCGCATACGGGTTCAACAATCTAGTCAAAACATTCCCCGCGACGAACACGGTTGCACAGCAATTACCTGTCAGCAAACTGTGTGATGTGGTGAGGAGAGAATGGGCTTATGCCGGGTGGGTGGAGGTATTACCACTGATCTTGGTGAGGACGGAACGCATATCATGCCGGTGAATCTTAAAGGCCTGATTAACGTTATCCAGTGCTCTCATGACGAGAATTTCTCTTGGATGAACCGCAAGGATGATGGCAGTGAGGTCGTGAAGCTGGCCAATCCGAAATCGCTCGAATACCAAGTTGTCCGAACTTCGCTCCTGCCCGGGTTACTGAAAACAGTCCGAGAAAACAAAGCTCATCCGTTGCCCATCAAGGTGTTTGAGACATCCGACGTAGTGGTCAAGGACAAGACCGCAGAGAGGCAGACCAAGAACATACGGCACGCGGCTGCGGTGTGGTGCAACAAAACGGCCGGATTTGAGGTCGTTCACGGTTTACTCGATCGCATGTTGGCTATGTTAGAGGTTCCGAGGATAAGCAATGCGACAAAGGGTGAGGCTAAAGCGGGGTACTATTTGAAGGAAATCAACGGTCAGCTGATCAATGTTCTTTTTCTGTAATCATCCGAGCACTAAAGCTATCCTTAGATCCCACTTTCTTCCCTGGACGCGCGGCCTCTATCATGTACCGTTCAGGGCTAGACGGTGAAGGTGAAACTGTACTGGGCGTCCTCGGTATCCTACACCCGACCGTTCTGGCCAGCTTTGAAATACCCTACCCATGCTCAGCGCTAGAGTTCAATCTCGAACCGTTCCTCAAGGCAGGCAAGGAGCCGTGGGAGTGACGGGATTAAAAGCCTGGCCAGTGCCCATCGATTGATTTGGACTCATGAAATCCCCCCTTCGGCCTGATGAGAAGCAGGATGTGTATGTAAGCCGTTGAATAGTAGAGCCCGGGTTCTTTGCATAAACATACAACCTTGGCCTGTGCTCAATGGAGCCTTAAGGAGTAAGATTGAGCTGGAACAATAAACCCAATCTGATCCATGCCACTTTGTCGGGTCTGGATTTGGGCAGGGGCACCCGGAACAGCTGAAGGCGGGTCTGGACACTACCACTCGGAACGTGGTCTAGACCCAACAGTCCAGACAATCTCAGCACCTAGACGGAAGCCGAATCCTTGGGGAGAATGTGCTTTAATGAGGCGTAGGTGGCTAAATAACGTCGAACGCCATTGGAGCTCGGAAAAGAAAGGTCCTAGCCCCAATACATAAAGCCACTACCCAGATCCATCCTTGAGACCACATCGGTCCACAATAATATTCACAACGAAAAGATGCAGTCGTCCAGCACTATCAGCTCAGCTGCACTAATGTCCTCCCCAATTCGACAACTATATGAGGTCCTATCCGTCTACGAGGCGAATAGAGACTGGTCCAAAAAGGCCCGGCAAGAGCTTTTGGAGCGAGTGGCGGCGCGGCTACCACCCCTCCACCAGCCAGACGTCTTCATGATAGACTCGATGTTGGAAGAGATAGGGCTCGACCCACTCTCGACCATCTCGAGCGAGTCACCAGAAACGATACCTAAAATTAGTGCACTTTCGCGCCTGAACGCCAGCAGGCTCGATCAACCGCCACGGCAGGGGACCATACAGTTGGGTGATGCCAGCAAAGCTCCCTTAACCTTGTCCCCCCAACTTGCCAACTTGATGACAACGAAGGAAATGGCCTCCTACGTGATGCTTCAACTGTTCGGAGAGCTTGCGGAACAAAGAATAGAGAACTGGGCTCGCATCGCTCGACTACTCGTCACCCAGCCCATGGACGGTTTTGCGACTCCACAATTCGAACCATAGTTCATGATACCAAGTAATGAGGGAGGTGACCCCATTTCTTACCGACGCGGTGACTCGGGCATATGATAAGTACGCTTTTCGCATTCTCTCGTCCTCAGGTTGTTGACCACTTTGCTGACTTGCTTTTCATTCACATTCGATAAAATAGAGAGCACCGCCCTTATATTCACAACAAAAGCATCAAATAATTATAAATCTGTTTATATAATAATTAACGGAATGTCCGGTTGTACAGTCCTTCGAAATACAGTGCTTACAAAAAAATATGTTAAAAGTAACCAACGGAAGCCAAGTCGCGACGTAATCGTTCTTCATTTTGAGCAGCTTCATGATCGTGTTCAGCAACACCTTCATGCTCGCGACTATAATGTATCGGTGGTAAGCCACCGAGCTCCGCGTCCCGTAATTGGGCGGTGATAGGGGAAGTGGAACGCACATTGACGGCATCAGGAGTTTGGTTGGAATTTGAGGCGTCCTCCTGTTCAGACTCTTCTTGGGCAACGGTCTCTGCTTGAGACGCCCGAATGCTTCTCTCCCAGCGCTTAACTCTCCAGAATCCCAACAACGAGGACATGAAAATGAACCATCCAATAACCATCTAGGTGGAAGGTGAGTACAGGTGATCCCACGACATGTCTATACATACCAAGAACAGCGCCAACCATTCAGTTAGCGGGAATTTGGATGGATGAGGGACACCATGGTGGAGCAGGGTAGAGTTTGAAGCTGAATGATGATGTGTGCTACTTGTCGTGTGGTTGGACAGACTGGGTAGTCGGGTGGGGGTAGGGGCTGGGTGAGTGGATGTGGCATCCGGGCTGGGCCACCAGATTTCTCCAGGTAGTCCAACAGGGTCGTCGTTTCCTTGAGGGCGGTTCCGGAACCAGAGCCCGAGTCGTATAAAGGTGATTCCCAAGCCTGCCTTTGCGCCATACCGCCCAGAATGGGACTGACTGAGCATGAACGCTAGAACGAAGCCGATCCATTCTAAGAATAATGAAATAACGAAAGCCTGTGCGGAGAGGGGACATTAGTTCGTATTCATCGTGCCTAGTGAAAAATACTGACGCCTAAGAAGCCAAATATGGATCCAGCTGGTATAGAATCGATTAAAAATTCGTCTTGGACGGTGGCGTGGACGGTGTTTTCCCAATAGGGCGGTGCAGTGTCGGCCTGTGCAGCCCAATACGAAGGAGGCGCGTCGTCGCGGGCTACCTCTGGAGCGTGGAATATCGTCTCAATTTCGACATCGTCTTGCTGAGCTGTATCACGAGTAGCATTAGCACGTCTAGCATTCGTCGGTCTGGACGACAAATTCGCGAAAACGCCATCGTTGTTGGAACCACCTCCAATCCTCCCAGACGGTTCGATCCCACGGCTATTTCCTCCTCGTAGCGAGCTCCAGGCGCGAGAAAACCAGTTCCCTTGAGAAGAATGAAAGTTATAATTTATAGGACCCGCGATAACGACGCCGTTGGTGTTGCCCCAGTGGTTCACACCAGCACGATCGGTAGGTGGGGAGCCAGGAGGGGGGAAATCGTAGTCAAAGTTGTATCTCCCATTGATAGTCCGTTGACTGTGGACAGTACGAGGTGTTTGTACTGGGAGTGGAGACTGTTCACCTTGCTCCTCTGTTGGAGGGAGTAGCGGTGTGCGATCGTGAGTTTCCCTTCCGGCGTCCTCATCGTCTGAGATAGCGAACGCTTGCTCTAATTCGTTATCATCAACGTCGTTTGAGGGCACGGCTGCATATTGTCGTCGGGGCATGAGTGAGAAGTAAGAAAGTGAGAAATGAGAATAAAGCAACGGTCCTGTTACGTCTGCCAAATTGCGATGCAGGCCAGTCTGCTGACTTTGCCCGCCGAAATCATTGCAGATATTTTCTCATTTTTGGATCTGACTTCATTATTATCTGCATCAAGAGTCTGTAAAGTATTCGCCAGTATTTGTGCAGACCCTTCTCTGAACCCATGGAGCCACCGACTTAGGCTCATCCTCCGCATTAAGCCAGAGGGGCAAGAGTACCGACTACTACAGAATCTTTCATGCATCTCTTGCATTCCAAGACGAAATTGGTTGCATATTTTGACGCTGGGCCCGCCGAGTCTCATCCTATACAATGACATACCTTGGTTGCCCGATGACCTGTGGGGAGAGGCTTTTATGATACGCTTCCTACCAAGTTGGACCAAATGGAAGCGTGCTGAGACGTGGAAAAAGACCTTTCGTTTGTTCGTATATTTTCCTGCATTGTTCTAGAGACTGACTTGATATTTGTCATTCCCGTAGAGTACTTTACAGAGTGTGGCATCGTCTGCAGGCCCCTTGCACGTCAGATGAATCCTGGACAAGTTATGTCATGCTAAGTAGACAAGGCATTGTCAACTTTAATTCGGCCTACTCGAGACAATTTGACCCTCATGCCATACTCGATGTTTACAAGTACGTCTAACGCTTCCACAATTGATACCCTCTAAGCTGTATTCTTTAGGGAACAGAATAATATCAGAAACCAGCCCTCTACTACTCGATTAATTGTGCAATTGGCCGATGTGAAGATCATAGCAATCGGCACTTTGGGCAAAGCCACAGCCTTTCGTGTCAACCGTCTAGCAAAGGAATTCATGCATCCTACGGGTATCTATCCTCCGGGAGTGAAGCCCCTCGTTCAGTTGGAAGACGAGCAGATACCAGCATCCGCTTCTTCGGACGGACCACAATATCCTCACCCACCTAATGTCGGCATTCCTATGACAAGAAGTATAACTCTGGATCCAACTCCATCCAGTCAATCATCTCTTTGGAAAAGACTCCGCTCTGGCACTTTTACGGGAAGGCCGACATCCCCGAACACCACACAATCCATGTTGATAGTCGAAAGTGTACCTCTTTCGAAGGAAGTGCCCGTTTATTCTCGTCTGACACACCCCCTACCCGTCGAGAATCACAGGAACTTTCCTCTGTACACACCAGGAGGAAAATACTTGCGCTGGCCCAAGGACTATGACGGAACTAACGAAGAATTTTGGGTGGGTCCGATGCTGTATGTTCTGCTTTCCCCTTTTTTGACTCCAACTCACGTGTTTTGGCTCGTAGTATCACCGCTCTTCTGACCCCCACATGGGCAATCGCTAACAGAAGACGATATGGTCGAAGGTAGTCTTGGAAGAATCGGATACGGTCGAAGTCATTGGGCCTCTTTCACTTTGGAAGACCTCGCTGCAATAGCGCCTTGGCTCGACGATCACATTGAGAAACGAGTCGAAGGTATGGGTTTAGGAAACTGATACTTGAACTTAAAGTAAGTCATTTCATTTGATTATTCCTATTTGCCGAATCTTTAATGACAGTACCCGTAGCCACTACTACGGCGCGGTCGAAATACATAAATCATTAGCAACATCGGGTTATCGAGATGCCTGGATTGATTTGGATCGAACACAGCTATCAGATTTATGCCTTCCCTCATTATCCACCCTAAACCTCCAAAGTGGCGAGTAGGCAGAGGTGACTAAACCTTTTTATCGCGTGCTTGGGTTTTCATCAAAGAACGCGTCACCTTTTGTGGGATAAACTGTCACTGAACTTCATCTCTTGTATGATAATTCGTATTTCTGGCGTTCTTCTCATACCGTACATCTTGTATGACCTGCATTACTCTGTATAGACTATGACTGATCACTTTTCGGGGACAGTATTGCGTCAAATGTGATGAGTACACTTCTGCCGGATATGATAGCGTCATGGCGATTCAGTAAGCAATCACGCAAACCCACCCATGGTACTTCGACATCGTCCTGCCACCCGGGTGGTTAGATATCCCAATCCACATCACGCATATTGATTATGGCCCTGCAACCAAGTCTCAATCCATTGCTTATCCACGGGTCGCGAGACGCCGCAAACACGCTCGAATTCTTCTGGGATTACGTCTGCCCCTTTAGCAAGAAATCCGCCAACTGCGTAGAAAACATCCTCAAACCCCTCCTGGTATCAAAATATTCCGGAAAAGTCAAGATCATCTTTAGGCCTCACCCACAACCATGTACGTTGTCCATACCTGCTCGATATCGTTCACCGGAGCCTGATCGTCGATAATTGCGTCAGGGCACGCTTCATCGACCTTCGTCCATGAAGCAGGAATAGCCGTAGCAAAAGCCGCACCCGAGTCTTTTTGGAAGTATAGTCTTGCCCTCTTCAACGCTCAGGATGACTTCTTCGACGAGCCAACGTTGAACATGACCCCTACTCAGATTCGGGAGAAATTAGTAGAGCTTGGCAAATCATCGGGTGCTCTCTCTGCAGACCAGGTGGCAGCTGTGGAGGAGCTTTTAAAGCCCAAGGGTGGTGGCAACTCTGGCATTGGTGCTACGGACGACCTCAAAGTCTGCAGTAAGTATTAGTGCTTTGCTTCAGCCCCTAACTTAAAGTTCCCTTTTCAGTCAAATATGGTAGACAAAACTCGATCCATGTTTCTCCTACCGTACTGTTCAACGGCTTGGTGGCGAATGATGTGTCGAGCTCTTGGGGAGAAGCCGAGTGGTCGGTATTCTTGGAGAAGAATATCAAGGGCTAAGTGGTGATTGTACACTAGTAAACAAAATAAATGAAAGAATCACGAGTTCATACCGACTTGTGAGGTGACCAAGCTCCGAACCGATGTGTACGGAGCTCGCCAAGCAGGTGGAAGCTTGCATCGATATAAGCCGTATTGCGACATGTCTAACAAACTTGCACTCTCACCACCTCCAAAAATTTTGTGCATAAATCTCTGTAAACCATGGCTCTTCAACCATCATTGTCCCCATTTGTGATTTCGGGACCACTCGATGCCCCTCACACATTGGAATTCTTTTACTGCTTTGTCTGCGTGCATAGTGCGCGATCAGCAAATACGCTGGAAACCATCATCAAACCTTTGTTGGAACAAAAGTATGCCGGGAAAGTAAAAGTTATCTTCCGACCCCAGGTGCAACCTTGGTAGGTGATCTCTCACAATCTGGTCTCCTTCGCTCTTAGTATTATCATATGTACACAGTCTGACGACAAGAATCCTTTGTGTTTAGGTGGCCTTCTTCCTCGATCGCACACGAGGCGTCCCTGGCTGTCGCCAAAGTGGCTCCTCAGTCTTGGTGGAATTACGCAGTAGCACTCTTTGCCAACAGACCTTCCTTCACGGATGTCCCAACCTCTACTCTGACCCCTCCTCAGCTCCGGGAGAAGTTGGCCAACTTTGGGTTAGAAACGGGAACTCTGACGCAAGATGAGGTGAACGCCGTCAAGGGGTTGCTCACGTTGAAACCTAGTGGTGGAATTGGAGTGACAGACGATTTGAAATATTGCTGTAAGTCCATCCCAAGGTTTTCCAATACTCGCCCTGACAAGAGATCGCAGTGAAAGTTTCGCGACAGAATAGCATTCACTTCTCTCCTTCGGTTCTATGGGATGGATTGATCCAATCCGAAGTCTCGAGCTCGTGGGGAGAAGCTGAATGGGATAACTTTTTGGCCAAGAGAATTGTAGCCTAGTGCTCGGGTCCTTGACGCAAACCTATACCATTTTCCCAGATGAATACGATCTCATTCAAGTAAAAGTTGTCTTCAACGGATTTCTTTTATTAAATGGCGCCTACAAACACACCATAAGACTGAGAGGTATAGTCAAAATCACTACGAAAAACGTCCTTTCGGGGTAATGCCTTGGAAATTTAAATAACAAGAAAATTATGCAAACTTGTGGTGATAGGAGAGTAAAGAGAGAGAATTAGGGATCGTTTAGATCCACTTGCCGGCGAAGGCGCGTTCGATGATCCTCGAGCCGACGACTCTCTTCTTGTTGTCCTGGTCCACAGATCGCTTCTTGTTACCAAAGGCACCGAACAAGCCCCTGAATCCTCCTCCACCACCGTTGTTGGCTGGGGTCTGAGGGACAGCGTTGGCAGCTACAGCTCCACTCTCTGGGTTGGTGACTATAAGGGACTAATCAGTATATGGTAAAGAGGGGTGAGGTGAGGGTGAACGTACCAGTTGCGCAGGATCCGAATGGTCCGGCGGGGGTATTGTTGCGGCATCGGACAAGGCATGCGTCACCGTTCGGACCACCAGTGCAAGTAGTGCCAGCAGGGGCCTCTGTAAAGGAGTGAGTATGTGGGTAGATTTGACCAAGATGGAATACGCGTACGGGCAACCAAGGGGAAATCTTGAGCAGTAGCAGCGCTGAAACCACGAATACCGGGAACTTGCGTGACGATGGTCATGGGCTGGAAGTTGGTGCCCGAAGCATCGGTCGAGATATCGCAAGCATAAGGTCCTCCACCGTCTTGGTTGATCCTGTTTCAAGACTTGTGAGTGAAATAGGTTGGGTCAATACAGATCGTCACACGTACTGGTGAAGAGTCATGGTCAAGGTACCATCTTCAGACAAAGAAGGTAAGCCATCGCTGGCGGCAGAAGCGACTTCAGCAGCGACATCATTGTTGCCTCCGATAGCCGTCCTTCCACATGGGCCAGTACGACCGCTAGCAATCTCGCGATCCCTGATCACACTAGTATCTTGCTAAAGGAGGGTGAGGTTGATTTTATCGAGGTGTGATGAGTTGACCGACCTGGAATGGCCTTGCACGACTTCCATCACGGGGTGTCGAGGGGTCAATACCCATACCCGCAGCCGTAATACCGTTCGCTCCGGTAACGGCAGTAATAGTTCCGTGTCCATGTACGGTAGATGCGAGAGACGCAAAAAGACCGAAAAGAATGGTGGAAGAAAGCATGGTTAAAATGAGAGGATAGTGAATGGGGCTTTAAGGACAAAAGAAGGTTTTTGCAGTCAAGCAAATGTGAAAGCACTGCGACATCATGTCAGAGATTTCGAGGAATGGGTGTGAGGGGATGCTTACAGCGACAATGATCAAAACCGTTGAAGGAGAAAAGATGCTCAGCACCGAGGGCAATCCTGAGGGTTTTTTGCCTCGCAAACCCAGGCCTTTTATATCCTCGAGGAGCTATTCCCCCTTTGAACGTCTTTCAGAGGCAGTCATTCTTGGCAGGTAAGGGACTTTTTTCGAGTCGTCGCAACCGTCTGCATGCCACAACGTGATTTGTGATCCTTGCCGCTCGTCGCGAAGTTTCTTTTTTGTCCTTTTGACACAGCCCCGATCAAACTTGGACCTTTCTTTTGTCGATGCCGAATCGAATCGTCGTGGTTGTTGGCAGAAACCGAGTCAAAGTTTGACAAGTGCACCCGAGGTCGTCAACTGCATGCATCCATGTCAATGTTGTTATGGGCTACTCTACGCATGCTCACAACTGGATCCGCTAGTGATGCTGATTGTGTCCGATTATCGCAAGAATTATAGAAAAGGTTTACACAGGGTGAACGTATGCCATAAAGGGAAAGGCTAGCAAGCGGATCAAACACCCTTGCCAACTCGCGCGCAAAGTGTGGAAAAATAGAAAGGAAAAATAGAAAGGAGATGGGCAGAAAATCAAGAGAAAATAGTGATCTAAATCCATTTTCCGGCTTGAGATCGGTCGACAATCCGTGAGCCAACAACCCTCTTCTTCTCTTCGCCACCACTATTCCACCTCTTGAGAAATCCACCAAGCAAACCCTTGAGTTTTCCACCTACACCACCAGCACCCCCACCAGCACCACTACCGGATGATGCGGCTGTTTTCTGGACGGCCTTCGTAGATACTGATCCGCTCTCAGGATTCGTAACTGTAGACAACAACACGGTCAAACTAAGCACGATAAAACGCGAATCAGAGGAGGAACGCACCAGTGGCACAGCTACCGAAAGGACCCGCAGGGGTATTGTTGCGGCAGCGAACAAGACACGCGTCCCCATTGGGACCACCCGTGCAGGTCGTACCTGCTGGAGCTTCTGTTGATAGAATTAGTGGTTGTACCGTGATGGTAGTCGTCAATCGTAGTGACTTACGAGCTACCAGGGGAAAGTCCTTAGCAGCGGCGGCGCTAAAGCCAAGAACACCAGGAACGTTGGTCGTAACTGTCATAGGCTGAAAATCGGAGCCTGACGCATCTGAAGAGATCTCGCATGCATATGGTCCACCTCCATCTTGGTTAACCCTAAGACATGTGTCAGGCCACTCCCTACGAAGCCTGATGATTATACGTACTGGTGAATCGTCATAGTTAATGTACCGTCTTCAGACATAGATGGTAATCCAGAACTGGACGCAGATTCCACTTCAGCAGCTACATCGTTGTTGCCACCGGCAGCTGTCCGTCCACAGACTCCAGTACGACCACTGCTGATTTCACGATCACGGATCACACTCGTGTCTTGCTATAGTATAATCGGGTGAGACAATTGCATCCAGAGTCGGACAAGTTACCAGCTTACCTCAAATGGGACTGGAAGGGCACCATTGCGTGGCGTGGATGCAACGATACCCATACCAGCAGCTGTGATACCATTGGCTCCTTTGATCGCCACCATTGTGCCATGTCCATGAACGGTAGAGATAAGGGACGCAACAAGAGTCAGAACAATAGTTGTCGAATGCAGCATTGTCGATGAATTGATTGAATTAAGCGAAAGTGGCGATAAAAAAGGGGGATAAAATTAAAGAATGAAGACTACATATGAAAATCGTTAGTAAAGCTGTACGATGCCGAGATGACAACTTACTAGGTAGATTGATGGAAAAGAACAGCGCTCAGCACCGGGAACAATCCTAGTGGTTTGCCAAGCATCTCCCAAGCGTTTTATAAGCTTGGCAGGGTTATTTTTGGCCGCTAGAGTCCAAAAACAGAGCGCTCCTCGTAGCGACCAAGGCGAGTGTTTAGCTTGGTGGATTGGAAGCCAAGGCCTCGATCAGTCATACAACGACCCTTTGGATCCAACCAAGATTTCGATTAAGGAAAGGCTCCGAAAGAAATCCTGACGATTTTGGGGACATCAACCGAGCGTCGTCAACGTTGACATGACGCTACTCAGCAACGGCAACGACGACTGAGCGGCAAACCAGCCATTCGGTAACGCTGATCGGATGCTCTTGCAGAAGAATTTTCTAAGTTTAGGCCATTGGATGTCGTCCACAAGGTATGCTGGCTACGCACAACTCTCCCGAACACTCTTCAGGTGGCATGATTTGTGAATAAATCCCGTTCAAAGATTTCCCGTATAGGTATTGCAGCCGCTAGAGATGCTATTATTGGATAGGCTAAGGTGGGCATCATGGTTACAGACAAACGATCGAACGCGCGCAAAACAATACCACCGCGCCACCCCTATCCAAATCACAATCCCACCATATGCTTACATCAAGGAGAGCTCCTTATCCATATCGGCAAAGCTTTCGAAAAACGAAAGGAACAGATCCATAGCAGCTAGAACAGTATCAGCCCCTACACCCATATTTTGTTTGAACATTGGTCTCTCACCTCTCGCGTCGTGGGATCCACCTGTCTCCCGGATAGAGTGCATACTAGCCATTGTCAGATATTTAGCCTTCTAGAATTCACAAGAAGATTTACCTGAGCTGAGCTAGACCCACATCGACAGTTCTGTGAGCGAAAGATAGATTTTTAGCATTCGATGGGATGGGGACTGGGCAAAGCTACGAACCGAACTCCGGTCCTGGAAAGAAGAGGCCCAACTGTACTACCACATGTCCTGTATGATTGTTCAGCTTAAAACAAGGAGAGAATAAATGTCGGGTACTCACATATCGTTCCGAACCTCAAATTCCTGAATGGACCCTCCACGCTTGGCAGCTAACCGTTTGATAATAAAGCTACCAATCGCATCTACGTATCATCAGCTATCTCTCGTCATGAGTCATGTTTCGGACTCACCGGTAGTATATTTTTGTTTGGCATTGGTCTTGAGGACTATACCACCATTCAAATGGGGTTTGTGGTTCTCTTGATACTTCGAGCTATAGTTTGGGTGAATACCATGGCCCATATCACTACTGATGAGGAATGATCGTGCAGTCGTACGGGCCAAGGCTTCAGCGGTGGGGGACAATCGTGCTAATAATGTCGGGATGAGAGATCCCTCAGCACCAGTTGTAGAGGCCGATCCAATCTCTTCGTGGTTAAACAAGGCTATTAGGTTGATATTCGACTCGTTCTGAGAGTCAGCAACGGCCATCGATTCCTCGCTCGTACTCTCGATGAGAGCTTCAAGCGCGCAGTACCTGCAATAAGTAATCAGTTGTATGTACACGCAATATGGTTATTCCGTACGATGTCATCTGATTGTCGAGGCGAGGAGAGAAAACAAATTCTTCGTTAACGCCCCCAAGACAAGACGGCTGGACGTCATAGAGCTGCCTTTATTACCATTATTTTCATGGAATACGATTTTTTGACAGACTCACAGTTCGAAATCATTGATTTCCTCTGGTTTAACCGATAGCTCGTCAGCGAGAAGGTGAAGAAGGGCAGAGTGGTGGTTCTTTGAAATGTTGATTCCATTTGCGGCTTTCCCTATAGGACCATGTTCATGTTCATGCTCGTGAGAGGCTGCTTCTTGGCCTGCTGCAGATGCATTCAGCTGAGCGGCCACTTGACCTAAGATAGGCACAAATTCCGTCTCTTGGTTGAACTTGAAATTTTCATTCGCAGTTCGGTCCAAATGAATCGCAAGTGTTGGGATACGAAGTAGGGGTCTGTCGATCTTGACGAGTTTGGATTTGAAAGAGCCAGTGGAGTTATCTTCAACGATCACCCGTCCTGCTAGCGACAAGTCCCGGTCGAACCATGAATGCCAAATACCACCACCGTATGTCTCAACGGCGACTAACAGAATCTATATTAAAACCAGATCGTCTGGTACTTGTACCAGCTGACTAACCTTGCAGGTAGCCGTTGGAAACCTTTTTAGAAACTGGCCGAACGCGAAGGCTATAAAGTCCTTTAAAAATGCTGTCTTTGAACACAGGGACCACATGGAAGCTTACTTGGGTGAATCGATATGAGTGGCAACGATGCTCACTCCACCACCTGGAGACCATCGCTACGATTGATCTGAACATCCAGTAATAGGAAATTGAGAGGGCTTTGACAGACCTTCGGGACAGTGAATGCCAACAGAGCTGCCTGGTTTCTAAATTCATTGATTAGGAGGTGGTCAGTCATCGCTTTGCATCTTAAGGAGTACACATACCGAGTGAAATAATATCTTCCACCAGGAGTGATATCCCACTCGTCATCTTCTTTGAGCCTGCAAAATCCGGCCTTCTCCAACCTTGTGCTCGCTTCCATCGCAGCATGATATGGCGTAGGCGACGAGTTTATGAACGAGAGCAACCCCAAAGCCGCTTTCCTCACGGCACCCGTAGGTTGCATTGGCCCCAGCACCATCATGGATTCGTAGTGTGATTTGAGAAATCAGATGTGGTTGGCTTCAAGTTTGTTTCGGCAGACTCGAATACAATTGAATTCGAACCTTGCTTGACCGCCACCACTGTGATCACAAAGACCATTAATGGTTAAGACTTACGACAAGTGGGGTCCAACACAAGCATTTGGACTCATATGTAGTGCTGCTTCATGTTCTGTTTATGATGGGAAACTGGCTTTTGTTCCAGCTTTAGAGGACGTCTTGGTGTGGGATGTTAAAAAAGGTCAAATGGTATGGCTCACTCCTTTGATCTCTCTCAAATATGATTTTCATCATTTTAACCACTGAATTACTGTATACAGCTCGCTATGTGGCATGAGACGGGACACCGAGCAGAGGTCACCTCCATTGTCCAATCGCCTCTAAAGACTACTTTTGCGGTGGGGTATGTGGATGGTTCCATACGTTTGTGGAGTGCAGAAACAGGTAACTCGGTGGTTACACTGAATGGGCATAAAAAGTCTGTCACATACATGTGTTTCGACGAAAGTGGATCCAGACTAGCCTCTGGTTCTCAGGATACCGATATCATCATCTGGGATGTTATAGGTGAAGTTGGTCTATACAGGTTCGAGCATATATCTTTCTACTTTTCACATCTTATCTTTCGATAGGCTGCGGGGTCACCGTGATCAAATAACTGGAATGCGCTTCATCACAACTGGATCTACAGCAGATCAAGCGAGCTCCAGCAGAACTCCAAGGGGTGCCTCTTGCCTTGTTACTTGCTCAAAGGACACATTTCTCAAGTTATGGGATCTCACCACTCAGCATTGCATACAGACCATTGTCGCCCATAGATCTGATGTCTGGTCTTTAGACGTGGATCCAAGTGGAAATATACTCCTCACAGGGAGTGGAGAAGGAGAGGTCAAAGCATGGAAGATAGATAAAGACGCCCTTGAAGCCGGTGTTAAGGAGTTATCTCCAGGAGAGGTGTGTAGTTTTAAATATCTAAATATCATATCTCATGCCTCTTCTAGGTCACCAAGTTTATTTCGCCTATGACAGTTCTTCCCCTTTCGTCTCGTCACCGGATCGCTCAGATTGAATTCCATCCCACTTCCCCTTACCTTGCTATACAATCCCAAGACCGCTCTATCGACGTCTTTCGAATACGTACAGAAGAAGAGATACGGAAAAAGCAAGCTAGGCGACAAAAGCGGGCGAAGGAAAAGAAGGCTCAAAAAGCTGACGTCGATGGGAATGTAGATGGAGAAGACGGGGTCTCAAACGAGCTACCGGCTGACTCAGAGATCGAGCTTGTTGACTTGTATACACCGTATCTGGTGATTCGAGCCAGCGGAAAGATTCGCTCGTTTAGCTTTGTTGCTCATGATACTCATCCCAAAGGGGCCCAGGTGAGTAGATAAGATCGCTTCTGACGACAAGGCTTAGTCAATATCGTAATAGATTTTCACCGCGCTATCCAATAATGCGCTCGAAGTTTACAATATCCCTAATCCGGTAAAGAGCAAGGACGCACCAGAAGCCACCAGATTACATGCCTTGGATCTACCGGGACATAGAACGGATATAAGGACAGTAGCAATCAGCGCTGACGAACAGTTGGTTGCAACAGCATCCAACGGTGAGCCAGAATGAATGGTGCCCATCAGATGAACTGAACAGTCGATAGGTCAAATGAAAGTCTGGAACATGAAGACTTTGGCGTGTATACGGACATTTGAATGTGGTTATGCTATAAGTAACTCTTTCCTTCCTGGAGATAGACAGGTATTTATCGCAACAGCCTGGAAACGACGGACTCATCATGGCGTTTTTAGGTCGTTATTGGCTGTAAGAATGGTGAAATGGTTCTCTATGACATTGGTGCTGCCTCGACTTTGCAAACCATTGAAGCGCACTCTAGTACACTCTGGTCGCTCCATGTTCGACCAGACTTTGGTGGTTTGATCACAGGGAGCGCCGACAAAGATGTTAAATTCTGGGATATAGTTGAGAAAGCAGATGCCGAAAATGTGCGTACAACTTGGATGATTTAGAGGGTTGGGACGATGCCTAATCCCCTCAAATAGCCATCTCGAAAGCACCCCGAACTCGTGCATACAAGGACACTGAAAATGTCCGACGAGGTTTTGGCCGTAAAGTACAGCCCAAATAATCGATTTATTGCAGTAGCACTGCTAGATGCAACAGTAAAAATATTCTATCAAGACACTCTCAAATTCTTCCTATCCCTGTACGGCCATAAAGTAAGCTCGCCTCAATATCACTTGCTAAGACTCATACCTTG